AAAAAACAGAAATCTATTTCTTCCCAATGTGTCTACCTGCTGTGTTTCCTGCTCATGACACGACGGGTATCAAATTGTCATTTCAAGAAAAAAAAAATAAAAAGGTGGTGTATACTATTTTTCATAACTCCAGCTTTACTTGGCCTATTAACATAATTGGAAAACTAGTTTAAAGGTTAAAGTCTGTACTTTTGAGCCAATTTGAGAGTCTCAGAGAGGGCGTATCTTTCTGGTTAGAGTGATTTAAATCAGTCATGTGACGCACCTGCAGATGTCACCATTTAATCCAATGGAACTAATTTTAATCTAATAAACCATTATTTGACAATTRATTGCAATTCCATTAAYTGTTTGCATCCTTAATAAAARCATATCAGTTGATAGATAACTATTRATGATTTTGGTGCAAGCAGACTGTCRGCCGTATTGTGTTGCRTATTWTTGTCCAGCTCTACCAACAAAAAGTGTTGAAATACCCACTTCACACTGAGGGGCAGGGCCAGAGCGGTGGCACTTAGCCCTGGAACCTGATTGGTCACCCAACTTGATTGAAAAGTGGAATGTCGCTTTTAAAGATATAAGATTAAAGTAAATGTGGACATATTAATTTGTATGCTCCTTTTGTAAAGACACATATATCTAATAACACATATATTATTTTAAAATAAAATATCCAGGGTATTTACTCATAGATCTCTGTTATGCCCGATTTTGCTGAAAGTATTTCTTCATGAGTTATATTGGGTCATTTTATGTGGCATCTTGGAAATGCCTCGACCAGCCTTTGCATAAAAGCCTAGCTCCACCACTGGTCACACCACCAGATGGCATGTGCATTAATCCAAAAGTATTACATTTCTTTTTCAACTCTTCAGCCACAGTGCCAAACATAAAACCAACTGGCTCATGCTTCYAATAACACATTTATTGTACACATTYATCACATATTTATCGATGCTGGGCTAATAAACATAGCACAACTGTCAAAACGCAACATTATGTGGTCAGCTGCATCTACGTCTTCTGCTATATTTATRATAACTAACCATAGCCAAAACGATACAACTAACGTTACAGTAGTGAAACCGCAGCTGATGCTTTGAGATGTTCCTTGTTTTGTTTCATTAGACTTTTTGTGTTTAAACGCCATAAGAGCTACAGGACRTGTTAGAATTACATTAGCATAATATTTCTCACACACATAATAAATGAAGGTCTCTTCAACAACGTATTACAGACTTTAAACAAATAACTCTTCACTCTTCACACAAAACATAGAAACTTTCAGTCAAACTTGTAACGTTGAAGTTCTCATATGGTCTGTTGCTAAATTTAGCATTTTCACCGTWGCATTRATAGAGCTTAATAGACCATTTCGTWGTTAGAAATTTGTCACAAGCGTGCATGTGCATWGTGAAAGCCCAGCTAGGTCACAGGTCAACCAGGAAAACGCTGAGGTTGTTRTGAAAATGYCATTGTRATTGTGCAAATTCAAWGGGGTCAAAAAGCAAATATATAGCTTAGATATTTATGAAAATTCTCATCTATGATCCTACATGGTACATCAAGGATGCATAATGACATAGCAGCATTATTGTGTCATTTACAATTACAAATCTAGTTTCTACTCTCAAACCCAGTTAATAAAAATTAACCCACTGATATTTTACTTATAAGTTAATTCGATCTAAAACAATTATGGTTAAATAATTTAAACACATAAACATTTTTTACTTGAATGGGTGAAACGATTGTAGTTAATTTTTTCAAATGGAGATCTGTCAAAGTTTTTTGAAACACATCGTTTTACAGCTCATCTCTTTTTTATTTATTTATTTTACCATTCTGTGAATATTCATCTTTGCAACTGCATGATTAATTTGCTGCCACACATTGGAAGCTGTTAGTTGCTCCTGTTAGTTTGACAGCCCACTCTGTTACTACGGCCGAAGACTCAGCTCAGTTTTTGTCTTTTTGGCTGTTTTAAGTAGCAGTAGTGGCACTTTTTGGAACACAATATTTATGAATGTGTGAGCTACACATAATAAATTTGAATACTGCAGTGGATTAATCGTCTGTATGGTTATTCATCAGAATAGCGCCTAGAACAGAAACTAGTCCTCGAATGTTCTTGGAAATAAAATAATATGGATAGTTCTGTCCCTTTAAACATGGAGTTCTGTTTATGAGCAAATAATATCTTACCTGTTTTGTTGATAGTTCTTTGAGTGACTGAAGTTTAGAAAAAATAGAGTTTAAATTGGACTGATGAGCTAATGACTAGGCTGAGGGCAGCCAAGACCAAAATGGTTTGTTTTTTATGACTTCAATTTCAAACATTTTCGTAGAGGTTTACGCAAATAAAATAAAAAAAAACACTAATGTAAATTGCAATGCAGCGAACACTTGTGCAAAATTGTGTTTCACAGTTTGCAGACTCAGTCTTTCGTGGGTTTTTTGACACTACCACTGTGCCCTGTGCCCATGCTCTGCTCGAAGCACAGCATTTCCACTTTCTGTTTACTGTTACATTATCTTGTGAAGCTGTCAACAGCTAACTGTTTAGCTCTCGCTTTTTTTGTTTGGTTTTTATCACTTTAACATGCCATCCACAGCAACTTTCAAGACCTATTCTAGTGAACTGAARGACAAAAAGGGTTTTATGATGATCCAGAAGAAGTTCAAATTACTTGATTTACTTCAGGTATAACAAAGTTATATTACCTTAGTGCCGTTGCGGCATATACAAAAGCACAGTTAGCTAAGAACGATGCAGCGATCAAGAGTACCCATATATTTTACTGTATTTTTATTGAATTAAGTGTAATTTAAACAGTGTACTTTACGTATTTGATTAAGCTCTAAAAATTGGTGTATAAAAWTTTTTTTATAATGTGTCCAAAATTAGCTTTTTTTCACAATTCGTGGTTAGTCTAAGAACGCAACGCCCATGAAAATCAAAGTTCACTGTACAAAACCTGTCTCTTTTGACATCTAGTGCAGCAGAAAAGCTTCAGTAAAACAATCTCAGTGACGATCACAAGTGTCTTTTCCCAAGCTGTTATCAAAACAGACTTAATTCTATTGAGCCGATAGTCCTATGAAAATTAATGGTCTAAATGTATGAGGCAATTTCATTTCAAATAGCTTGAATACACTGTTCTTGGAGAAATGTTAAAAATCTGGGAATTAATCGTGCAAGATTAAAAGAAAAACCTTTTCCATTACCCTTCAGCTGTGGTCTGCTTTTAAAAGAGCAGCCATATTTGATAAGTGACTAGATGCACAGTAATAACACAATCCCGTCAAAGCTCGCTCATGTATTTTTTCTACTGCCCATCTATTCGACAGTTTTCAGCTGGATGACTCATAAACTTGTCCAAGCATTGACCTGGAAATACAAGCCCATCCTGGGCCATGAGCACCCCCCCACCCCCACCTCAAMAAAGCAGTCGCAGCAGCATGTACCTCCAAAATCAGGCCTTAAACGGATGTCATATCCCTTCAGCAACTTGTCCACGGTAGTCTTGGCCACAGACATGCCGGTGCTTCCGGGTGAGGAGCTGAGGGCAGAGAACCACAAATGTAAAGAATAGCCTCAGACAACCAAGCAAAGTGATTCTTTCTGACATTTCATGTCTGCCCACCTGCCATACAGTGGTTGAAGTTTGGGAAATACTACTGCGTGAGCAAACTTTAAGGGGAGGAAGCAATTATGTCAACACTTTGGGAAAATAGGGGTCAACACTGTGTTTTATTGGGACAAAACAGTGCTTTACCAGGACAAATATTGCCAAACATTTTACCAGAAAAAAGGGGTACAACACTGTGTTTTATCATGAAAAAAGAGGACAATACATTGTTTTACCAGGAAAAAGGGGTACAACACTGTGTTTTATTGAGACAAAAGAGTGCTCTACCAGAACAAATGTGGCCAAACATTATTTTACCAGGAAAAGGGGTACAACGCTGTGTTTTACCACGGAAAATGGGTACAATACTGTGTTTTACCAGAAAAAGGGGAACAACACATTGTTTTATCAGGAAAAAAGGGGCACAATGCTGTGTTTTTCCACGGAAAAGGGGTACAACACTGTGTTTTACCAGAAAAAGGAGTACAACATCATGTTTTATTGTGGAAAAGGGGTACAACACTGTGTTTTAACAGGAAAAATGGGTACAACGCTGTATTTTACCAGGAAAAAGGGGTCCAACACTGTGTTTTAACARGAAAAATGGGTCCAACACTGTGTTTTAACAGGAAAAATGGGTACAACGCTGTGTTTTACCAGGAAAAAGGCGTACAACACTGTGTTTTAACAGGAAAAATGGGTACAACGTTGTGTTTTACAAGGAAAAAGGGGTACAACACTGTGTTTTAACAGGAGAAAGGGGGACAACTCCTTGTTTTACCAGGAAAAAGGGGTACAACACTGTGTTTTAACAGGAGAAAGGGGGACAACTCCTTGTTTTACCAGGAAAAAGGGGTACAACACTGTGTTTTACCRGAAAAATGGGTAAACACTGTGTTTGCCGGGAAAAAGGGGTACAACACTGTGTTTTACTGCTTTACCAGGAAAAAGGGGTACAACACTGTGTTTTAACAGAAAAAAAGGGTGGTAAATTCTGTGATTTACTTGAAGATAGGGACCAAACACAGTGTCTCACTGGGAAAAATGGGGACAGCATGGTGTTTTTAAGTATCCAGGAATTCCCCACGATGACCCAACATCTCCACGGTTGTCTCTAAGATGTTCACCCTGGCTGGTTGGAGGGTGGAGGGTGTACAGCAATGTCAGTAAACCCATCAAGCATTTCATTGATGCCAGTCCTTGAAGAGGATGGTGGGCGATAATAACTTTGTCACTCATATTATCCCTCATCATCAGTTCGAAACTCCATCTTCAGCTACAGTCAGGAAGCTGAGTAACAACAAAGCCTGCCATCTTGGCTTCAAAGACTCAGGGCAAGTCGGTCCTCAAACCTGGAGATATACTATCCTCAAAAGTCCAAACACACCTAAATCTCCTGAGCTGGACCAGTTGAGGGAGGGTGCAAAACGAGGGTTTAGGTGGGGGAAACAAAGAGAAGGAAAGAGTTTATTTATTAAWTCACTTCATGTGTTACAGAAGGACCACTGGAGCTGGATGATGATGATGATGATGATACCCCTATTTTAATTTGATGATCTGGCACAGTGGAAGCAAAATGAGGGAGAAGTGCAGCCACAGAGCTGCTGAGATCCTCTCAACTGAGACCCTAGACTGCTGCATACAAGGACAGGATGTGGGCCACAAGGGATGGACATCTGCGTCTTCAACATCCAAACAGGTTGATGTGCAGAAACAGTAAAAAAAATTAAAAATAAAAATAAATAAATAAGACCTTGAGATGAGCTGATTTATTCAAGCAGCCAGATCCAGATCAAGAGAGTGACAAACCTGCAGGGATTTC